TGCAGGGAAGAGAGGGCCGCGGCAGCGCGCGCGAGCGGGCGGAGGCCGAGCCAAACCCTTGCATCATGCGGCCAGCAGAGGAGGAGCCGCAGCCGCTCGCGCCTCGGACCCCAGCCCCTGCGGCGCCGCCGCCCGCGCCGCCGTTGCAACCGGTCGGCGGCGGCGGCGGCGGCGGCGGCTCGTACCTACGCGCGGCATGCCGCAAGCTCTCAGGCCGTGCCACTTGGACCGTGAGGCGCCGCTCTCGCGCGCGCACGGGACGCTTGGCGGCGCCGGAGCGCCGCCCTCGCCACGCGAGCGCTCGGCGAGCCATGCCCTGTACGCCGCGGCGGAACGCGTGTTGTACTTCTGTCGGATGGCGCCCTCCGCCTGCGACTCGCAGCCGGCGAACTGGCCTCCGCCAGACTGCAGCTCCTCGGGCATGCCGCACTGGCGAAGGTACTGCCGGAACGCGGTGTTGCCTCCGCACGTCATGCGCTGCTGCTGCTGCTCGGACCACGAGTCCATGTTTAGGGAGCGCACAAAGGAGATGTGCACTCCCAGGTTGCGGTGGACGCCAGAGCACTCGAGGCAGAAGTACGTCCCATACGAGAGCGACGCCCACAGAGGCGAGTTGGCGCCACAGTCAACGCACTTCCCGTTGCCCGCATCCGCCTCCTTGAGCTTGTCAAAGAAGGCCATCGCCTCGCGGCCGTACAGAGACATGCGGAGACAAACACGCCCGGGCCCCTACCCAAGCCGAGCTCACTTTTTCACAGGGGGGATCCGCCTGGAAAAAGGAGCATGCTTTTCGCTGCGCATGCTCGAGCCCTCGGCGAGGGCTTGTGCTGTGAATAGCAGGCGTGGTCTCTACTCGCCAGAGTTCTGATAAACCAAAAAACAATTCTTCTTTTTTCGGTTGCGTTTCTTTGGGACGACGACCGCCCCCCTCGCCACACGTGGAGGGCTGGAGCACGTGCGCCACCTGGGCCTGGGCAGGTGGCTCCAGGTGGCTTCAGCCCCCTCCAAGCCACCTGCCCCCCCTCCCTCGCCACACGAGGAGGGCTGGAGCACGTGCGCCACCTGGGCCTGGGCAGGTGGCTCCAGGTGGCTTCGGCCCCTCCAAGCCACCTGCCCCGCCCCCCTCGCCACACGTGGAGGGCTGGAGCACGTGCGCCACCTGGGCCCGATGGGTGGGCAGGTGGCGCCAGGTGGCTTCGGCCCCTCCAAGCCACCTGCATGCCCCCCCTCGCCACACCTGGAGGGCCGGAGCACGTGCGCCACCTGGCGCAAGTTTGAATTCGGAAACGGAAAATCCGAGCCCCGGAAGGGCTGGCCTGCCAAACGCGAGCCTCCCCGC